CCGTCCAAATAATGTAATTCTCCTAATAATAACATTAGGTTCTTTTTGGAAAGTATGCATTGATAATTTCCACAACTCAATGAAAGTAAAATCCACATTCTTTGGAAACAAAATGGGTGTTTACGATTAAACTATCCCTACTCCTGTTTGCCCAATGACAAAAATAGCTTCGGTTTCAGACGTTTGTTCGCTTCACCCCTCGTCGATCACTTGAACATTCTCCGCCCATGTTCCGCCCTCCGGTGCTCGTCGTCTTGCCATAGCGTTTTTGTCGCGGTATTTGTCGTCTTTCATTTCATTTTTGCCAGTTCGTCCTCCATTGTTGGTGGCTCCTTCAGTGTCGGATAGGGGTTGTGTGGCAATACATTAACTTGTAACAAATCTTCTATGTCATTTTCTTCTTTTGCAATGACGATTAGTTGGAATCTTTGAGTCCAGTCCTCCCACGATGCCGTGGGTTCCTTGGAAGCACCGGATCAGAAATTTCAAGGCCGCAATAGGTCGAATCCGTATTTGACCTACCATGTGGAAGTAAGCGTGAGCACTACTTCATAACAAAACTCAAAAGTTAAACGTAAGAGAATCAACTTTATTTCTTAACCGTAACGCCAGCCACTGGCTGTACGCATGTTGAACGCTAACTGTAATATTAACCTTGACAGTCATATCAAGTTATGTAAAACAAAAATATTAATAAACCATATAAACATGTTATAGTATCGTATTATGACATTTACGCCACACTGCGATCTTTTTGTGAGGTCACGGGCCTTTGAAAATTGCTGATTTGGCCCCATTGGGATAACTACGGTGCTATATATTGCGTCCGTATAAAAGAAGTATAAAATTTTTGTTTTGTTCTTGCCGACATTCCAAGAACAGGTGAAATATTGTCAAAAATGGATGTGTTGTTGACTCACAAAAATTTATTTTCAAATTTAAGCGTAAAGTATGCGACAAATTATTAATGCTCAGAGAACATTATTATTTGAATTGGGATCTTGTATATCTAAATGTGTTACTTGAAGCTTTTCAAATAGAAAAGGATGAATAAAAAACCTCCATTCAATTTTCTTATCAAAAGCTCTTAATAAAAACAAGTAAGTAGATTTCTGTGGCAAAAACAAATAAAAATTTTTGGTTTAAACTTTGTTGGTTTTAATTGAAATTCTTTAACTAAACCAATTTAGTTGGCTTTTTTGGGCTTTTCGCCCAGCAACTGCCTTACCTCTCCTTGTTGTTTTGATCAATCCACTTCGGCTATGTTTTGCTCTCTCTCACTTTGAACTCCTCACAAAAAGCTCGTAGCCGGTCAGTTGTGATCCTTACTTTTTTGCGCCAAATTCAGATTCGATTGAAAGTTATACTTTGAAAAATGCATGCAGTATAGCGAAAGCGTATGAGTAATTTGTAGTTTGGTCTTTTTTTGTTAAATACGATAAGTATAAAAGTACACAAAGGTCGAGCCCAAAATAAGTTCAAACCCTTACAGATTTTGTCTCTCTTATGGCTGAAAACCCTAGTGAAGTAAAATTGGCAACCACCTCCCTCAAATGGGAACTAAGGAAGCCTTTTTTTAACGAAACTCAATGGACGGATACTAGAGACAATTTGACACGGGCATGCAAAACACGGACCACGCGGACCGCCTCCCCCCCCCCAGCTCAAGTAATAACGGTTACCGGATTTGCAGAGAGCCCTATTAGAACTCAGCATCTGGAGGTTGGAATGGGACGAAACTTTTATATGTGATAGACTTAGGTAAAGTAAGCTTAACTTTAGAATCCCAGACCCAAGCACCCCTACTTCCGGTGTTATGGCCCATGCAAGTAGTCCCCACCCCAACTTCCAGAAGTTGTTGCTCGGAGCCGACTGAACATAGGGAGCCAAATTTTTCATGTATGATAGGAAGTGGCAAAGGACATCATGTAATACAGTTTGAGCAAAATTCAGAGGTTGAACCGGAATTTATTAGTTTTCAGAAAAAACACTACTTAGACCAGAAACAGGCGATTTACGCCAAATTATGAGCAAAGGCATATTGATCAAATAGCGGCAATAGACCCTAAGCACAAATCCTGTAAAAAGTGTTCTGGTAAGTGAAAACCCTACCGCAACGTCTTCAGTTGTTAATAGCATTTTCTCGGGAGAGCTGAAGTTAAAACTTAGGAATGTGATAACTAGGGAAGTATTAATGGGATACGGACCATTGACTACCGGCTCAAATACGGACCATTGACTACCGGGTGACCCCAGAGCGACCTTTAAATGACCTTTGGATGCTTAGGACTAAAATTTCAAACCATGGGAATGACACCGGAAAATGGCGTATACCCCAGCCCAGCTCTCTGAAATGATAATTATTAAGAATGGAAGGGAACTCATCTTCTGGGAACTGAAGCAGAAGCTGAAAAGGATATGTTTCACATTGTAACATTGTAGTTGTGGGATTAATTTTGGTGGATGTGGCGAACATTGGGTTCAGCTTAGCTTGGCGAAAAAAGGGTTTGTTACAAAATCACCCAGACTAAAGAAAAAAAGTCCCAGGTGAAATCGGCAGCAGTAAGAGCGCGGCAGGGAATTTAGGTCTCCTAAATATAATGAGTGGACGGTAAAGTTACTTCGCTGCCCGGAGTTGACTTTTTGGCTTAAATTGAGGCCGAATAGACCAACTACGTTCCTTGATAGCTAGAAGGACGGGATTGGAATTATGTGTAGATAGAGTGTTTAGATGCTTAAAATGATTTAGTTTCGCATGAAAAGGATCTCCCCCTCCCTCCCCTCGGAATAACACAAACATTTATGGTATAAATAAAATAAAGACCTTGGGAGGCTCACTGAGTAAACAAAACCTTGTTTGGATTTTGAGTTGAACTCGGAGCTAGAGTTCAAGGAGGCCAGGAAAAAGTTGATCAGGATCGTATGAAAATTGATTGTTTGGTCGGATTTTGACACGTATCGCATGCCGGATATCTATTAAGCGTGACAATTTTGTTGAGAGGAACCGAATTTGGCCCTTGCAAATGTTGACAAGTTGAGGGGTGTACAGAAGAGTGAATAAAGTGCGGAGGGTGAAATTGGATTTTATGTTGTCAAAATTTACTTGGAGATATCTATAAAGAACTTGCAATTTAAGACTATTGTCTTCAGTGGAAGAAACAAATTAGGATCTTATGTAAGAGTTTTAATAGAAAAACATAAAAAGCATTAGCAAACAGCCACCTTTTAGGCAGATCAGTTATTATCACGTAACAAGATAGTTGGTTCTCATCAGACAGTTAATTCTCATTATAGCTGGTTCTTAACAAGGACTCCTGAAGTTAGCGAGATCAGTTAAAGCATCTCAAAAGATAAGTGAACAGTAGAGACACCTAATTTTAGCAGGTCGAACTGAGTAGTTGTGTGAAATTACGGAACGTATATGGATAGTTAGGATTCTCTAGGGAGGTAGAATCATTAAGCAGAATAACAATAGTCGATAAATCGCGGACCTTTTCCTTTTCACTAGATTATTAGGCTTTTTTCCAGTCTCCCTTCGATTTCAATTTTGAAAAGCTTATTTAACGTTTTCATAATGCAATGAAGTTTGGTTTCGCGTGGTGAACAAATCAACAACTGCGAACAGATTTGTTCCTCATACTTTTCAGCTTAACATCACCAATTTGAGCCCCCTCTCAATTCTGGTGACAAAAGTTTTCCAAGTCCTGGGTATTAAACTTTTCCTCCCGTTAAAACTATTTCACCCACCTCACTTTGTTCGGCCAACCGAAGGCACCAATATATTTTAAACTTCAACGAAGAGCGCGCGCCAAAACAAAACGCTTTTTTGTAAAACTTTGGCATAAATTGTAGTTCGAAAACGTCATTTTTGGCCTTTTTTACCATTTTTTTGTGGCGCTGTAGTTTTCGGCAAAATAAGTTTTTTGATAGTATGTTTGGGGGCGTTTTAGAAGAAGTGTGTTATGTTTAATCAAATAAGGTTTGAAAACCATTTTTGTCACCTTTTCTAATCGCTATTCACGATTGTATTATCATTGTATTATCGGGTCTTGAATCTGAAATATATTTTAAAATTTCCTTGTTACTCAAAAATGTTACTCCTTTGCTTTAAAGAGCTGTTCAGTTAAGTTTGTAATGATTTGTCCTGCATGTAGTAATTTTTGATCAGGAAGCAAAAATTAAACAAGAAGTTTTGCTTACAATAAAATGATTTTGATCACTATGATCCCTGAATTCTGATTGCCATATTTTTTCAAAGGTTCTCATTTTGCTATACTTTTTTACGAGACATTTCAAAACAATTGGTCGGTGTAATAGAAAACTTTGTCAAACTGGGGACTTTATAGGGTTTAAGGGAAACTGTGAAAACCAAATAAGTCAACACAACATAAAGGAAAAAGTCAATTGTGTCAAGTTTTTCCAAAACTTCGCCCATTCCCCTCTGTGAACATGAAGTAATAAAAAAAAAATTTAATGCCGGCTTTGTTTTTCCGTTGCTTTTTTAGTCATAATTCAAACAATTTCATGATTCAAACATAATTCAAACGATTGAGAGTTTGAGAGTTTCAGCAATCTTAAGTCACAATTTCAGGCCTGGACTCAAAGCAGTTAAGGAAACGATAAAAACGTAACGAATATGATGGTTTTTACTTCATTTCAACATTTATTTAGTTTTTGTTTTTTATAACAACCAAAACGTTGTATTATTTATCATAGATTTAAGTTTCAGATTTCTCATCATAGTATTTAGTTTCAGCCTATCAATTTTAAATATTATAGATTAATTTTGAGCTTAATGAGAGAAAAAACCTAAATGCTTTAGTCAGGCCCGGATTAAGGATTTCCCCGAGAAGGGGGTTCGAATAAGTTTCCAAAAATAAACTTGTCGACCGAAATGGTTTCCTCTAGGTTTCCCAGAGCACTATGACGAACCTATTTTAACCCTATTTTGACGACGTTTCAAGGAATTTGGTGGATTTTTGAAGTGGTTTTAGCGTCACCTTTTCCCTGGTGTGCTTCCTCTTCTTTTCTCTCTCCACCTCAGCATACATGTGTTTCTTCTTCCTCTCATACTCCTGCATTGCCAGTGCCTATAAATTAGTCAGCAAAATAAATAGTGAAATATGTCCAGTCAATTGTCAGGTAAAGTTTGTAGCCAGCCACAATTCGTACCGGTAGAATGAGCTAATACTCATTATTCACGCGCCTTATACCACTCGTGACGAAAGTAATCGGCTGCAGAGCAAGCGTTCGCTACTTTTTAAAACCGTGTATCAAATTTTTGCCTGTTTTGAGTTGCCTCTTGTCACAAATTGGGGCTTGTTCCGAATTTTTGTCTGTAACGAATTGCCACATGTCTCAAATTGTCGCATGTAGTTAAAACCTCCATATTATTCGAATACCAAACCGCTAAATTAAGGCTGTTTATTTTGCACCGAGTTATCTGTTCAAATTTGTTATTGCATTTCGAATCAAGACTGAAGGGGTTTCATTATGGCATTTACTCTACATACTTTTTTAATCTCAGACTTTCACTCAAAATAGGTTTTTTTAATTTAGAAAAAAAATCAATTTTCTCTTAACAAAGTTAAGCTATGGGCGAAAAAATGTTTTGTTTAAGAAATCGGAAGCTCTTTCCCTTTCTATCTCTAACAGTTTTATCCAATTGAATTCAGATCAAACGAAAAAATCTAAATTCAGTAGCATGAATCTAAAAAAAAAACGATTTTTATGCTGGCTTTTTTAGTTTGAATAGTTTGAATAAAAACTAGGGAATTAGTTTGAATAAAAATTTCTTGCTATTAAAATGGGTTGTTTAAAACTTGGTGTGTTTTACAGGTAAGAGCATTTATTCACGAGCGAAAGCTGTTTAGCTATCTACTAGCTGTTTAGCTATCTACTAGTTCTACAAGCTGTTTAGCTATCTACTAGCTGTTTAGCTATCTACTAGTTCTACAAGCTGTTTAGCTATCTACTAGCTGTTTAGCTATCTACTAGTTCTACAAGCTGTTTAGCTATCTACTAGTAACCTCTCTTCCGCCCCTGCTTAAGAGTTTTTGAATTTTTTGGACTGTTTCACTGGGTTGCGTAATGTTGCCAACCCTCAAGCTACAAAGTACAGAACCGAAGCACAGCTTTAAGAACCGATGAACTGACCTGATTCAGCTCTCCTTCATCAGCCCCGTCTTCCTCCCCCTCCCCCTGCCCCTCTTCTCCGTCCTTTTCTTTGTCCTTGTCCTTGTCTTTGGGTAGCAGACCTTTGATCCGGTCTAAAAGGAAACCATCGCTTCTTTATTTTTTACCCATGAGGTTAACAGTGGTAAAGGAACCCATTACTGGATTTTCATCCCATAGAAGTTTTATTCACTGGAAATCATCCTGGTTCCGTTGTCCATTTATATAAGAAATGGTATTCAAGTCAGGTTTATAAACAAATGTTGTTTCAGTAAAAGATTTAAAGAATGTTCCTAAATCACATCATTGAACATAGTAAGCCGATTGATACGCAAAAATCATGGAAAATTGCTTCGATTACATCTATAGCCACAAGAAAATAGAAGGGTGACCGATTGCTGTGCAAGAAGCACAGAAAGTTCCGACTCGGTTCTTGACTCAATCCAATGACATTTTGTGTTACTGGATTTTGCGCCGGAGTAAAAGAAAAAAAATCTTGCCTGAAAACAAGGTTCCTCCCCATTTTGTGGTTCGGGGTGAAAACGACTTCGAGTTTTTTTTATCAGTGCTAAAAAGGTTATTTTATTCTGATTAATGATCACATGTTCAGATCGTTTTTCGTACACAATTTTTTTTTCTAATTTTTTTTTGCAGTTCGAATAAAGAGAGAGAGAGAGAGAGAGAGAGAGGGGACACTTTATTGTTTCAATATACTTATGCAGTTGCAGAACTGATTGTATAAGAATCTAGTGTACAATATTACGCAATGGTTATATAACATAACAAGAAAAAACATAAATTACTACGAGGTTGAATCAAATATTTGATTTAACAAAATAAATGTCCTTGGATACGGAAAGACTCTCCTTATTGGGTAACAGGGTGTCATCTTTTCCTATGATGAAATTTTTAATCAGAGTTTTTGTCAATGTGTACGGCAGTTTTCGATTAAACAAGGTTCGGATTATTGTGTTAAGGTTCCTGATTGATGTAAATAAGAAAGACTTACGAAGGAAATCAGTTTTACATGTTAAAGGGAACAGTAATGTTCCAGTTCGATGGTTATAGCGGAATTCAGAATTTGGGAATCTTATATGCGTGAAAGATGGGGCATCGTTTCGGCATAACCTGTGAAGGTAGTGTGCTGATCGGTACTCGATAATATTCCGAGCAGTAGGAATTTTGTGCTGTTTCCTTAGAAGTGTAACGGAATCACGTTTGCTTATATTCATTATTATCCTGATTCCCCATTTTATTTGTTTTTCGAGTTTCTCAATATTATCTTGCGTACATCCGTTTAAGAGCATGCATGGATAGTGCAAATGGCTCAGTACAAGAGTATTTAACAGGAGAATTCTAGTACGCAGAGGGATTTCGTCACGGATGCATTTTATCGTTTGGATTGCTGTAGCCATTTTTTGTAAAATTTTGTTAATTTCTTTGTCGAATGTTAAGCTTATGTCAATATTGACGCCGAGAAATTTAACTGTCTCTGTTAAATTAACTTGATAATTTCCAACTTTCAATGAAAGATTTTCAGTTAGTTTCTTTTTCGACGGTGCAGAAAATACAATGAACTGGGTTTTGTCTACATTAATCATTAATCGATTTAAGTGAAAATACAAGAGAATTTTATTGAAATTGTTTTCAATGCTCTTTGTTGCTGTTTCGGGATCTGAATGAAAACTAAGCAGAGTCGTGTCGTCGGCATATTGTACTAACGTACATGATTTGTCTATTGTTTGTGGTAAGTCATTTACATACAAGTTGAACAGCAGTGGTCCTAGTACAGTACCTTGGGGAACACCTTGCTCTAATTTAAGCCAATCTGAGTGTTCGCCGTTTACTATTGTCAATTGCTGTCTGTTTTCTAGAAATGACTTAATAAGAGTTGTTGCTGACTGTTCAAAGCCAATGTGACTTAGTTTCCTTTCAAGGACTGAATGAGAGAGTGAATCAAATGCTTTAGATAAATCAAGAAATGCAGCCGCTGCTATGTTATTTTTATCGAGATGGAATCTGATTTTTTCTGTTTTGTATAAAAGAGCATCATTAGTTGAATAACCTGGACGAAAGCCAAATTGTTTTGGATTTAGAATATTGGAATTTGCTAAGAATTCGTGAATTTGGGATGAAAAAATTTTTTCAAACAACTTCGATAGCGTGGGTGTAATAGAAATTGGACGATAATTTACTGGATCTGTCGAGTCGCCTTTTTTGAATATGGGAAAAATGTGTGCCTTTTTTAAGGTATATGGGAATACGGATTTCGAGATGCATTCATTGATAATCATCGTAAGAATTGGGTTTACAGTATTAATGCTGTCTTTTAGAGCCCAAGCAGGGATTTTGCTTGGTCCTAATGGCTTGTTTAAGGGAAGTAATAAAATTGCATCTTTCATTTCTTTGTGAGTTATGAACCTGAATTGAAAGTGCCTATTTGTTTTGCTGTGTACACTGTACTCAGTTGGTACATCTATGGGAGGATCTGCGTTTTTGTATTCTCCTAATGTTGAGAACCTGTAGTTAAGGAAATTTGCTTTCTTCTTATTTTCAATTATAGTGTCGCCAAACGAATTCCGTAGATCACCTATTTGCGTTGACTGTTTCATGGTGTTCCTGATAGAGTTTATGAAATTCCATTGTTTTTTTGGACAGTCAAGCATTTTGAATTGAGCTGTTTTCTCTTTCTTGTATAAATGTTTTAGATGATTGTTGTATTTATTTCTTATTCGTTTATAGTTTTCAAAATTGGCATCTGTTCTTGATAATTGATATGCCTTTAGAAGATTTTCTTTTTCCTGTTTTAAAGGTCTATTGACTGAGTTAAGTACTTTACCAGACAGCTGTAGCTGCGGTTTATTTCGGATATACTTCTGCTCTAGTGGTGCGTGAGCGTTTAGGGCATGCGAGAAAATATCTTCAAATTTTATTAACATTTTAGAGATATCGTTTTCTTGGTAGACGAGAAACCATGGACTCTGTTTAAGTTCCTCGCAGAACCTATTTTTACAATAATTGGTTTTGTTGAAGCGAAAAGTTCGAATTGGAATGGCTTTTTCGAATCGTTTTAGTTTGCTAATACACATTGTTATTAAATGGTCCGTGTTTATAGGTGGTTCTGCTACAATAGTTTCTTTACAAAGAGATTTGGTTGCTATAATATTATCTAAAATGGATTGGCTGTTTTTAGAGTTGTATGTCGGTATCGACTTATTGGTTATTGACAAATTGTATGGTTTAATAGAATCGCTGAGAAATTTAGCTTCATGTTTATTCAAGTAGTTAATATTGAAATCTCCCAAAATCGTAACATCTCGCGCTTCGGAGGCAGCGTAATCGATACCCTTTAGTGTATCTTCTATAAAAATTTCCTTGAATTGTTTGTGTGGATTGTAGGCAATAGCAATTATCTGTCTTTTTGATTTTTTTGAGATGATTGGGCTATATTCCACCCAGAGTCCTTCAAAATGGGAGGGACGTAGATAATTTAAATCTTCTCGAATCTTAGGGTTAAATTTTTTTGGAATAAGAAGAAGAGTACCACCACCTGCGTGTTGACCAGTGCATTTTTTGTTACGGTCGCATCTAAAAATTTCATGGGTTGTTTTGCAGAATGAATAAGTTTGATGATCGCATGTTTCGTCAAGCCAGGTTTCCGTAAGACCGATAATTGTGTTTGAGTCAACTATTTCTGACAGGAAACGCATTTCCATGTGTTTGTTCTTTATGCTTCTACAATTTAGAGTTATATATTTGAGGAAGTTGTGGTGTTCCTTTGCTTTGTTTGCCAGGATTTCATATGAAAGTGCGGGACCTGGATTGACTTCGATGTCCCCACATTGAAGAAGCAGGATTTCCAATATTCCAATCTGAAAGGTTAGTACCACAACTGCGCAATAGATGCCAGCTGTGAATCTAAAGTGGCGGTTAGACGTCATGTTTCTAGTTTTGAGTAGTGCGGTGCTGTTGGGTTCATTGTACTTAATGGGAATGCTAGTTAAAAGGAAGAAAATAAGGAGAGTCTTTAAAAGCCATTGGCTAAACATAAATTTGATAGATCCAGATCATTGGGTAATAGACTACTAAAACAGCATTAGTATGGATAGTATCTATTATGGCGTAAGTCATAATTACTACGATTGGTATTCATATAATTGTAGGTTTGATTGTTGCTGAAACCATGGCTCGCAAGACTCTTTGGGTGCTCGGGGCCCCACGAGACTTGGCTTGAACCAGGTTTCATACGATTCCTCTGAGGGTGCGCTGGGCCCCTAGAGTTGGAAGTATTCGGAGAAACAACTCGAGGTGATAAGCTGGATAATGGTAGCACCTTTTCCATGATTGCATTTTTTAAAGTACTAACAGAACGCATCAAATGTACTTCATCAAAGAAGATTGACTGATAGTCGTTTATGCTGACAATTTTATCGTATATAGGAACAATTTGATACTTTTTTTTCTTAAATTTATGGGCAATAAGGCTGTTGAATTCAGTTATACGTTTACCACTTACAGAATCGGGTCCCGACTTCACAGGCGGGACTTGGCATATATTGATTATTGTAGGTGAAAACTTTGTCTCAATTTCACTAATGGTGGCGCAAAAAGTTTCAAATATATCATCTACAGGTTTGTGTAGTTCCCTTGTGAGTGAATTGGTGCCGTCCTGGAAGGTTACTGATTTCAGCTCAGTATCGTCGTACTTTTTCACAACTGATTGTTTCTCGCTGCAAAATGACCCGCGGTAAGAATGAACGGCCACGTCTTTGGGCAGCTCCTTCGTGTCAAACTCCGCTAAAAAACTCGAACCAATAATCAAGTTTTGAGTATCAGTGGGGATTACTTTGGCAGCAAAATCAATAGGTGCTCTGAGTCCTTTTGCGTTTTGATTACTGTTTGGAGGATTACTGGATGTTGCTAGTACATTGACAAGGTTATATATTTGAACGTAGTACTTATCTTTTTGTTCGGGATTGAGTTTCGTGAAGTCGTCGGGCAGCATCAGAAGCATTGGTGTTGACATTGTGTGAAGCCAGGAAAATGCCAGGAATAATGGTGCTGTTGGTGTCAAGGATAATATGCTGAAGTTAGTAGTCAGTGCCCAAAGAATGGCAACTAGTGTCTCATCACTCTCTATTTAATAAGTTTATCACAACAATTAGGCTAACTCGAAAGACAAAATGGATTTCAAACTTTCATTAACTCTACCTGTATAATTTATCTTTTTGTCATGTAGTTTTGCATAAAAACCAATTCTCTTAAAATGTTCATCCCTACTTTTTGTACCATGTCTTGAAGAAAAAATATTTCATCTAAAACTTGTCAGTCTGATCTGTGCGGTCAAATAGATTACTCCAAACGGTCTTACACGTCTTGAAGAAAAAAATCTGATCTTATTCTGATTTGGTCGATCCAACTGAATCCTTCAAAAGGTCTCAAAGGTCTTGAGCAAAAAAATATATGTAATCTATAAATTCACCATCTGTTCTGGTCAGATAAGGATCTCCAATCGGTATCACTCGTCTCGAAAACAAATATATCTCAACTAAAAAAGTTTTCAGTCTGAACTATTTGGTCAATTTAAATACTCCGGAAGACCCCACAACTTTTTGGGGAAAAGTTTATCTCATCTAAAAAAACACCATCTGATCTGGTTGGTCAAAAAGAAACGTCTGAAGTTCTCATTAATCTTGTAGAAAAATATCTCATCTGAAATTTGACAGTCTGATATGGTCGGTAATATAAAATTCTGCAAAAGATCTTACAGGTCTTGAATAAATGTATAACTTACCTAAACTTGACCTTCTGATCTAGTAGCCCAAATAGATTCCCCCTAAAATTCTTACTCGTCTTGAAACAAAAAACATTAGTGAGCTCAATGTCTAATCTGGTCAGTTAAATTGAATTCTTCAAAAAATCTCACAGGTCTCCCTATTAAATTTATTTCTACTAAAACTTCATGATCTGATTTGCAACAAGGTCTCACAATCTCCAACAAGGTCTCACAACCTCAAAATCTCCAACAAGGTCTCACAGGTCTGGAAGAAAATTCATATCATCTAAATTTTTCTTTTTGTTATGTCGATAAAAAAAAAATCTTCCAAATGTCTCGCAGATTTTTTTCTACAAATTTTATGTACAAGTTTGGCACAAAATTTGTGTAAGCTGATGGTTTCGATATTAAAACTAACTTGAAAACTAACAGTAGTTATATAGGAGGGTTTAGGATTAACAACGGATCCTCAAAAATTTTGTGAAAAAATGTTGATCTTTATTACAGTTGACGTAATTGTATTTCCGAGCTTTCTTGATTTTCTATAAAAATCCTGTTTCGTAACAAGTCCAGTTTTGTCAAAACTTTTTCAATGCTGCGCCATTGGTCGCCAAGTTGACTGTTTTTGTAGATTTCATTAACCCGTTTTTTTTAATAGCGAGCTGTCCATTAACCATTCGCTCACCATGAATTATTTTTTTCTATTCTTTAAGTGAATAGAAGTCGGAAGAAACGTTTCTGCACAAAAAATTATTGTTCTCATTTTTGACAAAAGCTATGAAACAAATAGTCTTGCATTGATTTCATAGTTAAACTTTTATCCGATGGGTTTGTCAAATTCTGAGAGGCTAAAACTGTCATTTTGGCAGTTTTGAATGACATAAGTTTTTAGCTATATTCAACTGTAGGCGGCAAAAAAGCCGACTCAAAAATTATCAAAAATTTGAATGCAGGCAGTAATCAGTTTTGGTCCAACTTTTGTACGCAGCATTTTTTTCCTTGCCACTGGAATGACAAAAAAGTTAGGCAAAAGTTAGGCAAAAAACTAAGAAAAAACACGCATTCAAATGCAAAAAAATTTTAAGGTCTTCACTTTGAAATGAGCAGGATTACTCAACAAAAAAAGCTATTGGTTTTTTCAAGCAAAAAAAATATAACTCGAACGTAAAATTGTTTGCTTTCTGCTGAGACGCTCATTTTTTGGCGTTCAAAATGAAGTATTGGACAAAAGTTTTTAAAATAAAAAAGTCTGGTTTTTCTTTCGGAAAATATTGATTTACAAAACAATTGTTTATTTTTTTACTTTTGCAAACATACCTAGACAGGTCGTTTTTTTATACATGCACAATGACGAATAAATTTGATATAATTATCTTAAAAATGGGCATCTTGGAACTTTTGGCTCATTTATTTTTTTATCTCTTAAATATATTTCAATTTATAATCAGGGCGACAAATATTGTTGAAAGTTATGTTCTGGTTCAGAAAAACTTCAAGAAATTTTGTAGGCAATTTAAAAGTCAACTCACCAGAACAAAAGCAAATATTTTCATCTCCCATTCACTTCGATTTATTGTTCAACTTGAGACAATTCCACCAAGTTCAGTGCTATTTGGGTCCAGTTTCTCATCCTCAGAAAACTTTAAATTAGTTGTTCGACAATTCAATTAAATTTTTTGGTAAATTTTTGACATTTCCGCCTCACCTGTGGATATATTTTTGTTTGGATCATTGAAAATAGAAAAGAGGTTTGAATTCGGGTGTGTTTTAGTCTAGTGGTTGTGTTTTTTTTCTTTTTTTTTTGTTTTTAACGCAAAATCAGGTATCACAAATAATCATTGGACAGGTTTGATTGATATATCAGATCAAAGCTCTTCGAGTCGTGATTGGAAGCATTTTTAAAAAATTCAAAAAAGTTTCTACTGTTGAAAAAAAAATGGTAAGAACTTGGTTTTTTCTATTTTTGAAATTTCGAGCGAGTAAAGCTATTGGGTAACGTTTGTTATATAAGAAAGTTAGAAATTTAGGTAAAAAAAACATTCAAAAACTTAAGAGCAAAAAATTGAAGACAAGAAAATGAAAAAATTTGTTGAAAAAACTTTCATTTTTTTGAAGAACCATTGCATTCGCTGATGCCTAAAATTTGACTTGTTTGTATAATTGTATCATCACAGCAAGCGGCTATTTTGGTTTTCAATTGCGTTCTGCCCATAGGCCATTTTCCGATTGTCTTGTACCAAACTGTATGCGCATGCGAGTAATCTCGCTTACACAATTTAATCAGGTAAAGCATATACACTAAGCAAGACGGTTCGTATCAGATGGAAGAACACAATGTTTTGACTTCCGTTGAAAGTCTATGGAAAAGGTTTTTCAAGTAAAAATTATCCCAAATTAGCAAAATAGCAAATTTTAAGGTAAAAATATCACAGGTGAAACAATATATATTTTTAAATTTGAAAAAAAAATTAGTAAAATTCAGATGATATAAAAAAGAGTTAAATAATCATTTGGTCTGGAGAAAATACCACCCGAGCAGAAATCTTTCATACTTTTCTTCGAGAGTCGAAACAAAAAAAACTTATTTGGAAAAAATAAGGCAAGCACTTATAAACAAGTTGACAGAGAAAATAGTTCACTGTTATTACAAAAAATATATAAATTAAATCAGAAATTATCCTTGGAAAAATCAGAGAGTTTAGAAGTGACGCTTGGAAAACAGAAAAAAAAGACAAGAAAAAGCGGATATTTCAGAAAAACAATTTGAATAAAAGAAATTATCCTGGGAGTACTCAAAAAAACTAAAAAATATTATAGTTCTGGTCAGTCCTCAATAAAGTTTTCGAGCAGAACTTTAAATGGGATAGATTTCTTCATAAAATGCTTCAAAAAGGCGGAGAAAATAGATATTTCTTTTCAAAAGCTTCAACGCATGTCGCAGGTGATTCCAAGTACCTTTTTTGAACAATAACTTGATTTTGCGATCGTGACTTCTCCTCATACATTTTCATACAGGCCATGTCTCTTCATAAATTTTCAAAAAATTGAAACTGAGCTTAAGGTTTTGGTTCTAGTGACAATTCAAAAAATTCAATTCTGGTGGAAATATATTTTTTAAATAAACCTTAAAAACCTAGCATGTATGTCCGAGTTTTGGTTTTCTGGTGATTTATTTGATACTTGTACATTGTACTCACTGACAACTAGCATCTGGAACATCATCCCCGCCATTGCAGCTTCTTCAGTCAGATGACTTTGCAAGCAATGATACAGTAAACAACAATTTTAGAATATAATTTAGAAAAACTGTTGAAAATAGTAGGAATCAGGTTGCTTTGAATGTAGTTTTGCTAAATTTAATAAGACTGTATTTATATTTGTGTTTTTTGAAACCTGATTTTTCTACTGAAAAAGAAATTATTTTGGGTTATCGCTTTTGTACAATTGTTTTAAAGTATTCAGCATTTGATATTACACAAACCACAAATGTGATTAATCATGTACTTTTGTACAGTTTCTTTTAGCAATGTATTATTTCTTCTGAGCTTTTTTTATTAGTTATTGAATCAAGCTATACGTCATTTACAGACATTATATCACGTAATGATCACAAAAGTAAAAAAAAATCTTTCAAGTAATTTTTTAAATTGTTTTAAGACATCCAATTAAATGAAGAAATAAACTAAGTATTCATTTCAAATGAGCATAAATAAGTCTTATAAAATCTGCCCAAAATCCACATTCTTACTCGTTGCCTGAAGTTTTTCTTCTTGTAGAGAAACCAAACAATTCCAATTAATAATCAAGTGATTATAAGAAGAAAAAGTATCGATAAAGTTATAGTCAGTGGGTTTGATTTTGTGAATTTTGATGAACTTGGTGGTTGACCGTAGGGGTACATCATTTGGTTATTGCCCCCGTAAGGTGCCATTTGACCCCCGTAACCTCCCGCCGGCGGCATTCCTTGATTTGGGTTATATTTTCCATCTTCAAACAAACTTTTCTTTTCCATACCTTCTTTTGTAAATTTATCGAAAACAGCATTACAACCGTCCCATGTACAACACGTAGAATGACATTGATACCCTCGGTCTGGAACTTTTTCCAGCTGGAAAAAAGCCATGATGGTTCGCTGGCATAGCGGGTCAGGAATCGGGTCCATGCATACCTGGGCAGAAGGATAAAGGTCGGGCCCGAGTTGAAATCCATTAGCCGACAGACACCCAAACGCGAATATTATTTGCCCTTTGAAAACAAGGTTGTCATCTCAAATTTTGCTTTATTTTTTTTATTAACTCTAAAGTGGGAAGGAACAATGGCGTAGAAGGTTTTTTGTTATTTTTTAGCTACTCTTTTAAGGTAAATCGAAAAACGGTTATTTTGAAACATCTGTTTTATGAATGAAGCCCTTTCAGTTTTAAATTGGATTCCGAAAAAAAATAATTGTTTCAATTTATCTCAATGTCGAGAAAGTTTGGTGTGAAATGTTTGCTATCAGACTCAAATATAGCTTTCCCTTGTAGGACATTTTTTTCTTTTTCAAAAATTTCACTTGAAATCTACTTTAACTTGATCGGACACTTTTTTTGTTCATTTTGCTATTTTTCGGACTGCTTTGTTTCGGATTGCTATGTATGCGACTGTATTGTATTTACACTGTTCGAGTTCGGTCGTACCTGTAACTTTTTGCACATTTTTGTTTGTTTGGTTTCTTCATATTGCGATGTGTGAAGGGCAATTTTCCAAGCTGTTACATGTTTCGGGGGACGCAATAGATTGGAGCTTCAAAATTTTATGGCACTAACTTTTTAGAATAGTTAGAGTATACATCTATTCCAAAAACTAAAAGCCTTATATTTGGGCTATAATTATTTTGAAACTAAATTATTAGCGTAGTTACTCTAATTTAATTTTCTATCTCAATTTTTCTCGTCTCATCTTCATGTTTAATTGGAAAAACTGTAAGATTAGAACCATGTTCAAAAAGTTAAAAAAAACTCTGAAACCAAAGTACTCTGAAACCAAAGTTTGGTATTTGTCAAACTCGCCCTTAATTATGGTCGTCAATTTTTCAAAATTTTCCATCTGTTTTTTTTGCTACAATCATTTCTACAATCATTAATCAATCAGTGTCCTAGAAATTTTGCGTAGGTACCTTTATGCCTTCAGCCCCAATGTAGAAAGATACAGTAGGGAGCACGCGTAAGCACGCGTGTTAATTTGCTCAAGAAAAACGCTCAAAACACGGAACTTTCTTCCTAAAATTTCTTGCACAGATCCTACTCTATTTTAACATAGGATGAAAAAATTTGTACTCGATTTTGTTAGTTCACTGAACAATAAAAAGCAACAATTGTTAGTTGCTTTTTGAACAATAAAATCGAGCTTTTCCTCTGTTATTCAATTTTTTCTAGTTTTTTTTAATTCAATTGGTTAATTTTTGTACACAGATTCCTTTCAGACTATTATAAATTTCAGCGGATTTACGAGCAGGGGGCGGGGGCTCACGCACTTTCTTTCAGGGGTTCGACCTCATCGCCATTCAAAGTTTTTCCCCTTTTGATACTAAGTTGCGATCCCCAATTTTGGCAAGTTGACCCTAAAATTTTTTGTGAAGGCACCTTAGTTAGACGCCAATACTAGTTTTAAGCGGTAGCACGCGCCAAAACAAAGCACAGTTTTTAACTGAAAACATTCCAAAAAACTTTTGCTTTTTGGTCAAATTGGGGTCTTTGCAGTGATTTGTAAGTGCTCAGAAAATCCAATTTGGTCGATCTAAAAACGGTCAATAAGTTTTACGATTTTTTTTTGAAAATACGCCCCCTCCTTCTCGAGAAAAACCTAGGTCCGCCCCTGATAAATGTGCAAACATCTTTGCTTACTCCGCGTACTTTTATGACTAGAATTATAAAACACCAATGTCTTTTTTACAAAAATTTGTTCAAATTTAGTTTTAAGAAACGGAACCCCATTACTGTTATAAAATAACTTTCATTAATATCTCCATCCAGAATCGTTCAGTACTTCATCTAGTTTTGATATCATAAGAAATCTTAAAACCAAAATTGGTTGTCCGGAGTTTCCAATTATGGATTCACATTTTGGATCGAAAATGAGTCGCGAATCTCGACCCGGGTCGAACCGATTATAATTTTTTAAATATAAATTCAGAAAAACGAATTAAATTGCTTAAATATGACAACCCTGCCTTTGAATACGAATTTACTCGTTACGCATGTATTGTCTCGGCCATAATCACTGCACCTTGTAGGCTCATTCTGTTCGAAGATCCTTTGATCCGGCGACAGATGGCAACTTTTCCAGACTTCCAGCTCTCCGGTGTGGTTGGGAAAAATTGGGGGAGAACACTCCCAACATAAAATTCCGTCAACTTTGTTTGTTTGAAACAGCAAAATCACCAACACCGTAAAAATTGTAATAGCAAAATAGTTTAACTTAATTTTTGACTTCATGTCAAAATAGATGCAATTGAAGATCCTCCTAACGGTAATTTTAAAGGAAATTCTGTTAAGACACTGATCAATGAAACCACAAAACTCATAATTTGTTTATAAACAGAGATTCAGTTAATCTTAGTCACAGATTCTTTACTGCAACGATGGTCAAGATGTGATCAAATAGGGAAAACAGATTGATAAGGAAACGCTCCGTTGTAGGTCCTTCGACGATGTTAGGACGACAAAGACTACCCATAATTGAAAATATGGATCTGTTCAAAAAGGAGGAGGAAGTTCGTTACAAGATTTAAAAAAATCCGCATCTGTGAGTTAGGACCGAGTTGGTTAACTCATAGAGTAATTTCGGATAGGGTACACCGTCTGCTCGTCACGCTATCTTATTTTCGGCCGGATAGATTCGTGCAACTCCTTAGTCTAATACCGATCCTAATCTTACTCTTATATTATCTAGTCTCAGGTTGTTTAACTAGTCTCTGCTAGGCTCAATAGATCTAGGGTATACTGGTTTATTGCGGTTGCTGAAGTGCTCGGGAGAGTCCAACTAATTTCTAAGTTAAATTCAAATCTCTCTGGTGCTGAAATTACAAGTAACTTCAGCACTTACAAATAAGTGGGTTGTTAGTTAGATGGATCATGATTGGTTAATATTAAATACTTTACATTGGTAAAATATCTAAATTATCCAATCATAAAATGTAGTTTAGATCAGGTTCCACCCATCCGGGTTTTACAGAGTTTTTTAGAATAGTTCTTCTGCAATTCGAAGGATGGATGATGGACGTTGGTGTTTGGCGAACATCTTATTTCTTCTGTTTCCTTTTTGTTAAAGAAGTTCCAGGAAGCTGGAGTTAGAGACATAAGACGTTGTGTCTTCTAGTGACAACGACTAAGTCTTTGCAACAAACTCAAATCTGATTTCAGAATGGTTTGCTATGTCAGGTTTTTCTGTTCTGCGTGGAGAACTTCTTTTGTGTCTGATCTAATTTGGGAATGGCGTGGAGATTGTGCGTGGAGGGGATGCCTGGTTACTCGGATCTGTACGTATACTTGAACATCGAGGTGGTCATTGGTCTAGTTCAATGAAGTCCTTTTCTGCGAAGTCAAGTCGTACTCTAAATCCTTTGAGTTGTGATTGTGAGTGGCATATCGATTGTGGTTGGTCATTCTCTCTCGAGTGTAGTGGGGTCGTTTTGTCTTTGGATGTTCGTCCTTGGTGTTTTATTCTGATCTATGTATTGCATAATGTAATTTACATTTTATAAAACATTTATTAGTTTAATATTTTTTAGTTATGATTTTAGTTAGTTGTTTTCACAAAAGCTTTTTGTTTTAGTTCGGTTATTTTGAAGAGTTACTCACACTTGAGTAGCTCTTATTAAAAATAGAGGTGTGGTCACAAAGCGTGGATGTAGCGCGGTGGGTTAGGCCGGCTATAGAGCATGCTCAGGACGTCCTTCCTGGTGGGTTAGGCCAGGAGTGGGAGTATGATTTCATGCGGTTTTTGTGAGGGGTCCTGTTATGTGACAACGTTTTATGTTGGGTTTGTTGTGGTTTTTCTTATGTCTTGTTGGTTATGTCCTTTTTCCAAAAAGCAAATTGTTCGTGGTATGGGTTTGTCTTTCGACTTTTTTGTGTTTTATTATTTCTTTCTTAGACTTTATAATAGTCTTCAAAAGAATAAATTATCCAGTTTTAAACTGGGTTAATCCGGTTTGGGTACCGTTGGTTTCCTTTTCTTAGTCATGCTGTTATTCTATGATTTGTGGTATTTAGTAAGCTGCGTTGGTTAGTTTTGTTTAGTATATGATTCCTTTCCAACCGGGTTAAAGGAAAGTTTGAAACATGTTATTATATGTTAGAGTTGTTGAGTGTGAAAACTTGAAACTAAAATTCATTATTTTAAACAATTCTTCGTGGGCGAGCTGTGCGAGTGTGGATAGAATTTCTGTGCGAATAAATGAGAATATCAAAAGGTTAGTACTGCATTTGCATTTTATTAATTTACTGCATAGAATTTGGAAATTTACTGCTAGTTATGGGGGAATTTTAAGTTACAAATTTTCATCATAATTAGATTTACTGC